ACGCTCTTCGGGTTGAGTGCCTTCCTAAGTTTGAACACGGCCCAAGCAGTCCCAATCGCATGCCCTGCAGCGTCAAGGCCTTCATTTGTAGCCTCAGCTGCTTGCTCTCCATATCTAACGTCAACAAAAAAAAAAGACAACAGAAAGAAAAGTCAGACAATCACACCTCATCAAGTACAAGAAGCCTCAAGATGCTCAATTACATGCAACCTACATCAATAAGGGCTTGTCTAATCTTTGAACCAAACAAGTGTAATCCCCCCATCCCTATGTCACTACCAAACAATGAACTAATTTGAACAAAACATTGGTTTGACAATCACAAAAAACAAAAAGGCTTTCAAGCAAAGGTCTTACATCATTGAGGCCAGGCAATTATGTGAGAATACTTGAATAAAGGAAAAGAAAATTAGAGAGTGAACTTACTTATGTGAAACGAGTCCGGTTGTCACAACTGAGGAAGTGGACATGACATTCCTTCCAGCTACTTCTACAGCATCACAGACCTTATCTGCAGATCACACAGCAAAAGCCACATTAATTTGAAGACTGGGATTGTATGGTATGATTTTTATGCTATCTTGAATCAAAATTAGACTTTCACCTAAAAAAACACTTACAATCTTCATTGTTATTTTCTTATGCATACACTAATTCTTAATTGTTTGATTTTTGATCAAGGATGACACTTGACAGCCTATAAACATTAAATAAACCCTTAATCTAAAAGTTAAAAAGCAAAGGATTATGTGCAATTTGAGAGAATTGGTGTAATTTGGTGAATAATATAACTTACTGAATCCATCCAAGGTAGCAAGGACGATTTCCCCCGGAAGAAGGCTGAAGAATTTCTTGCCCGCTTTGGAGTTGACTAAAGAAGTTGTGAAGAATCCAGAGACCTTAACCACCCCAGAGAGGACACCGTTGGCAACGTTCTCTGACATCTTGGTCAACTTCTTAACCCTTACGATCCTCTCCAACGCCTGAGGACTAATCTGAGAGTGGGAAGCAGGGTCCAACCTCTTCTTCAAGTAATCATTCCCCCACTTCAACCTCTCCACAGTCACATCCCCAACCCACAATATACCCCTCACCACCTGCCCCGACCCCGCCGCAATCCACCTCGCGAAACGCCCGCTGTAATCCTCCACGTTCGGCGCCAGCGTCGTCCAGTAAGCGCCCGAAAGCTCCTCCACCGCCTCCCTCTTCTCCTCCGACCTCAACTCCTCCGGCGAAGTCTCCGCCGACACCGAACCGTCCATCACCTCCCACCCTCCCACGCCCTTCACTCTCTCCTTCGACACAAAGCAGTACTTCTCAAGAACCTCCTCAAGTTCCCTCAGCACCCTCTCCTGCCCCTTCGCCGCCACCGTCAAACCGTAGTTCAAAACTTCCAACTCCTCCTTCTGTGGGACCCGCACCGTGAAGAAGTAGTGCGACGCGTCAAGTTTCACCGCTGACACGTCCTTCGCCAGCGGCCACTGGACCTCGTCGCCCACGCGGGCCAGCACCGCCACCACTTTTTCGCCTTCGCCGATGCTGGCCACGGTGAGGTCGCCGGAAGCGAGGTGGACGCTGGAGTCCTTTTCTATCAGATGAAGAATCGCGCCCGGGACGGTTACGAGAACGGTTTCCATGGCTTGCGTTGTTGACGTGCTTGGCTCTGTGTCGAGCGAGGGATACATTGAAGAAGATGATGGTGAAGGATGCGAGAGTGGGGAATTGGCGTCTTGGTTTGTTGAATCGACTCGTGGGTAGAAAGAAGACATGTTTGTGATGTGAAGAACGATGGAAGAGGGACACCAAATGTGTATATATACCTTTACTATGTCGAATGGATTAAGATTAAGTGTAACATTAAATAATATTAAATAGAAAACCGACACGCCGAAGAAAAGGAAACACGTGTTACAACCGCGGACTCTGCCGTTTTGCTTACATTATTACGGTTACTTGCTGTTTAAGAAATCAATGGAATCATTCAGAAGAATCCAGCCTAGAATAGGACGGGGCCCAGCCCAAAATCTCAAAACGGAGGGCCCAACCAACTTCGTATGCCTTTTTCACAAACTTCAAGAAATTTGGAGAAAAATAATTGAATCTCTCGACTAAGGAGTTGACCTAAAATTAGATTTGTCAAATGAATTGCCTCACACAATTAATGTAAAATTTTCCTATGGGTCATGTAGTAGTCCAATTAATCTATTTGTTTGTTAGGTCAAACCGAAATGACTCATTTTATTTTATTTTTAATTATGTTTTTAAAAAAAAGTCAAATGGGCTTGATACAGGTGAATTGATCCAATTCTCTTAAACAACACTTTTTGAAAGTTGCAAACCCATTGAACCAAATCATTTTTTTACTCTTCATATTATTACGACGATGAATTGAAATATTAACATGCATCTAAAATATTTAAACCCTTAATTAAATTTTTCATAGCCAAATATCGTACTAATGATCACAAAAATGTACATTTGACTTTATTTAGAGTTTTCAAACATGGATTACGTTCACTTTGAACCCAATTCCAAGTCAAAATCAAATCCTTATTTCTTTTTTCGGTTGAATAAATTTTGTCTTATAACCAAATTTGAATTGGGCTAGCCTAGTCAAACTATAGGCTATCCACTTCTTTATTTAATTTTGTTTAGTGACTACAAAATTTTAATAAATTAAGAAGAAAAAAGTAAATAAAATTACTACTTTAGTAAACTATTGTGCAAATTATTTAATATATTATACAAGTACTTTTTTCGCTGTAACTTTTATAAAATAAAAGAGATTAACACGCGATATATAAGTTTTCATATTCAAAACAAATCAAACAACTGTCACATTATCGAAATTTAATATTTTTCTAAATGTAATAATATAAATTATTTTTATATATTTTTTATTATTAAAATAAATATATTGATAAAAATAATCATCACAATAATTATCAATTTTGAATTTTAAAAAAAACAACAAAATAAAAAAAATGTTAAATATCGACTAATATAATTTTAGATAAATAATTATATATTTAGTCTTGAAATATCAATTCAAGTTTTGAATTAAATTTCAGTTAAATAACTTTAAATAAATTTTATATTAAATTAAAGATGTTGTATTCAATTTTTTATTAATAAAAATAATATAACCATGATAATAAAGATCCAATCAAAGTCTTTATACATTTATTCCAATCCTTCCAAACACTAGAGTTGACCAACTTTATTGGTTCTATTATTATGAATTAACTTTAAATTTTAAAATACATAAATATAAATCATATTCAAAAATTAATTATAATGTAAATCAATTTTATAGAATTAGAGTCTTATATTTGAATCCTTTTGAAGACATTATACTTTTTATGATTTAAAAAAAATACACAATTCATCCGGTGTATAGTTAAAACTTAAAAGTGTTATTCCCCCGAACGAAGATGAAATAAATAATTTACGGCAAACGGAAACTTCGTGTGCTATTGTCCTTCTCTTAACCGCAGCAAACCCGAAGAACCTTGTTCTTATAACCAAGATTATTGTACATAATAGTGACAAGGGATTAGGTACTAACCCTTGAAATTAAATATTGTTAAGAATCAGGTGCACCTGTACAAAAGATTAAAAAAAAAAAAAAAAAAAAACCTACTTGCAAATACCTGCGAGTAAAATCACTTACAGTATCTCTAAATTAACAATTAAAACTTAATTTCTTTCAAAGATCGAAATAAAATTTATTTCATTACAAATGATATGTTTTAATCAAAATTTAGGCTTAGTATGTTTAAGAAACATGTCATCTATCAATGGCGACTGCATACAACTTTGTTGATATTTTTTACTTGTTCTAAATTTATTCATTTGACAGGAGAATATATTGGGAATTGAGTAAAGGCCCATCCTAAATAATGTGGTAAATTCGATTTACTATGGCTAAAGTTCTTATATTCTTCGTGTATAAATTAATGACCGTTTATTATGATAAAATAACATAACTAGTCAAAGTGAAACATTCTGTACTTTGTTATATAAATAAAATAAAATAAAATAAAAATGATAAAATTAAATAATGTGCGATTAATTTTAAAATAACGAAAATAAATTAAGTTAAACAAACAATTAGATAGTTAAAAGATAAAATAGGAGTTAAACAAATTGATTATAGAATAAAATAATTAAAAAACTGTAGATATGAAATAAGGTATACTCTATTAATGTTATAGAGAGAATAAATTCGAACGTTAGACACTAGCTAACGGTTATCTACAGTGCACACGTGTTTCACCCAGCTTCCAACGAATACGCATGGAATCGAATAGGAGACAGCATCCAACACATGCATAGTTGAACTCTGATCAGTGATAACCAACTTTATGACGGTATAGTAAGATGGATACACCACAAAAGGTAAAAAAAACAAATTAATTTTTATTAGATTAGTTTCAAAATAATAATGTTATTAAGCTTAAAAATAAGTTCAACTACTTCTCAAAAGAAAAAATGAATGAATATAAATCACCAGCAATTTTCAGTTTAATTGAGGTATAGTGAAGAAAATATCATTTTATCTCATAAGAATAACATAGTTAGTTAATTTTTTTGAATTTAGGATCAAATTTAATTTCTTCTATATTTTATATCTTTATACTAAACTTGTGTTAAAGGTGAGATAAATCATTTTTAATTCCACTTAAAATTCTCAAAGAGGTTAATAATTGACTCTGATGTTACATAAAATCATACATTGTCCTAATTTAAACTTAATATATATAAAAAATAAACAAAAAGTCTTGTTTTGCTTAAAAATTAAGACCTAAAGTAATTTATATATATTTTTCTTTCTTGACCCATTGAAATATTTTGAATAACAAAATATGAGATTTGTACAAAGTAAGTAAACAATTCATAAATATGAAAAGCTTAATGTTGTATATTTTAAGATATTTTAAAAGGTTAATTTACCCATAAAATTATTTTGAATTTAAATTTAAATTTAAAATAATTATTTTATTAATTACAAATTTTAAAACTTAATTAATATTGATTTTATTGGGAAATAACAACATGATCGTTGCATGTTTAATTAATTTTAGTTATTAAACATTTTAAAAATTAATTAATTTCAAATTTCATAATTATTTATAGTCACAAGTAGAATTAAAGATACTAAGTAGTACTTTCTTCTCTGTTTTTTGAATTAAAATCTTAACAATTTTGTATCCTTAATATAATACTGAAAAAATCTTATTATGTCATATGGAACTTATGTGAAAGTTTATGAATAAATTATTTAAGACAGAGTAACAACGTCTCAGAAACTTTGATCCCACGAACACTTAATGATGTAAATTGCAATCAACTTGGGCTTAAAAGTTAAAACATTGAACTTAGTAGAAGGCCTATGCTACACTAGTGGGTTGCTAGGCCCTTTACCTCCTTAGCCTCAACTACGAGGAACTGATATGGTACACAAACAAATCTTACTGATTAATCTTGTATTTCTTTTAAAATAAAACTTCAAGGAAAGATTAAAAAAAAAAAAAAAAAAAAGTAAAATGAAAAATAGTGATGAAATACCATACCAATAATCTCACTCAAAACAAAGTTATAAGTAGAGCATTAAAAAGTTAAAGGCGCGAAGAAAAGAAAGCTTCAATTATTTACAAAAGACAATGCTTATGAATCTAACTTTTAACTATGAAATCTTTGACTGTAATATTTGTATTACGATATTATTAACATCTAGTTCAGAGTTGAGAGTAATTTTGTATAGTTAAAAGTAATTAATATTTTTAAAGAAAAAGATGGTTATTAAATGCTTAAAATTAGCTTTAACATTTTTCCCTTTATAGCAATCTATTTATGCATTAGTAGTGCCTCCAAAATAAAGTTTACATGCACATTTAATCATGCAAAACAGAATCCAGTTTCCTGCCATCATTAATGTTCTGTAATTGTTTGAAATCGCGTAATCTTTGCAGCAGAAACTAAAAAGCTTGAGATTGCAATAATATTAGTCAACAACAGAGAAAAATTATAAATTGCAACTAAGCAGTAATTTGCAAAAACAAAATAAATCAAATGTGGTCCAAATAAAGCAATGACAACTTAGCATAAATATGACAAATTATAATTTATCCTATAACCTTTATATAGAGTATAGATAGACTCCTAGAAATGTTAAATACAAGGTGAAACAAAATTAAAGTCAAGAAAAAACTTAATGAAAAAAGTACAACAAACGGATTACAAGTCCAACCCTTGTGACTTTAAGAAAACACGGTCCTAAACTTGCCAATTAAAAAAGAAAAAGAAAGAAGAAATACTGAGTATTTCTGTTGTCTTATATCAGTCACGAGTGACGAGCATCGCTCAAAACGACATGATCGAAGCTCTAAATCGGTTCTAATTGAGTAACGACAACGGGGCTCCGAACCACGTGGGTCCCATCCGTCCACGTCACCGACCCGAACAACGCCCCGGACTGACCCATCTTCAGACTTCGGGTGTCCGCCGCCACCGTCATCACATAGCTCCGCTTCTTCACCGCCTCAGAGAAAACCAGCCGCGAGGGCTTCACTGTCACGGTCACCCCACTCGGGGCCTCCACGTTGACGCGGTAAACCGCGTTGGCGGGCCCCACATTGGTGACGCTCCGTATGAACATCTTGGACACCGCCCCCTTGGAAGAAACCGGAAACATAGCCACGAAAGACGGGTAATTCAGATTCTCCGGGGAAGGCCTTTTCGCGGGACAACTCGCAGGCGCGTGGGTGATAACCTGAATAACCTTGGGCCCGTAACCAATACCGCAGAGGAAATTAACATAATCATTGTTGGTGATATCGTACACCAAGCCAGGATCCATGGCGCGTCCTAGGTTCAGATGTCCAGCGCCGAAATCGTAAGGAGTGGAATTGTTTCCGGTGGCCTCATCGGTCAAGATCCGGTTTTTATTGTCAAGGACGGTGGCGGTGGTCATCATGGCGGATCTTATGGCGGCGGGGCTCCAATCAGGGTGTGCGGATTTGAGCAAGGCCGCGGCGCCACTCACGTGAGGGCAAGCCATGGAAGTGCCGGACAAAATGTTAAATTCGGTTCTCCTGGTGTCGGAATCCAAACCGGTGGGGCCGACAGCGTCGGTCCAAGCAGCGAGGATGTTGACACCGGGAGCAATCAAATCCGGTTTGAGAATCTCAGGGTTTAAACCGTTGGGTCCTCTGGCAGAGAAAGAAGCGAGAACCGGCGCCGGTTTGATTCCCAAAATAGTGCCTTTGAAATGGAGGGTAGCCGTTGGGTTCCGTGAAGAGGAAATGTATTTCTTGATGGCATCCCCTTCGTTGGCACCCACAGCACACGCCGGGAGAAGATGCGCGTCCCCGACGAGGCCTTCGCCGTTGGAGATTCCGTTCGCCAGAATCATTCCCACGCCCCCGGCCTTCCTCACCACCAGCCCCTTGGCAACCCTCGGGGAACTTCCTCTGTCGCATACTACTATCTTACCCTTTACCATCTTCGGATCTAGAGAATTCTCCATGCATAGGGAATCCCCTAGTATTCCCGATTTCCCAGGGTATACAACTTCATACATTTTCCCCTTCAACGCCGCGCCCGCGTACAGCGACACGCCCGACAGTCTCCCACCGTCGCCCAGAATCACCTGCGCCGGGAAGTCACGATCAATCGTGCCTGCTCCTACCGTCGTCAACCATGGCGCCAGGTTCGTCACTGACATTCCGCTTGGCCCGTCGTTGCCGGCGGAAGAAGATACGAACACTCCTCTGGCAACCGCGCCGTAGGACCCGATTGCGATGGGGTCCAGATAGTAAGGCGAGGCGATTCCATCGCCTCCACCGATGGATATGGAAATCACGTCTACGCCGTCGTTGACAGCGGCGTCGAAGGCGGCGAGGATGTCGGAGTCGAAGCAGCCGGAGTTTTTCCAGCATACCTTGTACACCGCCAACCGCGCTTTGGGAGCGACGCCTTTGGCGATTCCGGCGGCGTAGCCGGACATGCTGGCCTGGAAGGCGTAGCGGCCGGCGGCGGTGGAGGCGGTGTGGGTGCCGTGGCCATCGGCGTCGCGAGGGGAGCGGAATTCAACGGTGTCGTTGATGGGGTTGAGAGGGCCGGCGGCGGCGCCGGCCTCGTGGCCTTTGGAGAAGAACCTTGCGCCGATGAGCTTGCGGTTGCAGTTCTTGGTGGAGAATCTGACTCCCGTCTCGCATGCGCCTTTCCAGCGGCGGGGAATGGGTCCGAGGTTCAAATCGGAGAAGCTGCGGCGCTCGGGCCAGACGCCGGTGTCGAAGACAGCAATGATGACGTCGGAGCCGTAGTCGGAGTCGGACCAGAGGCCACGCTGGTTGCGGAGGCCGAGGAACTGTGGGGAGCGCGTGGTGTGGAGGTGGCGGCGGGTGTCCTCGAAGACGGCGAGCACGGAGGGGTGTTGGCCTAGGGAGTGGGCTTGTTGGCGCGTGAGGCGCGCGGAGAAGCCATGGAAAACGGTGTCGTAGACGTGGAGGATGGTTGTTTGTTGGGTGAACTCTGAGGTGTACCAGTGGAGGTGCGTGGGGAAGACGGAGGGCTTGGCTTGGGAATCCACGCGGAAGATGAATGTTTTCGATGCTTCATCGGCGTAAACAGTGGAAAGGATAACGACTGTGAAGACAGCCAGTAGGGGATTCAACGTTGCTTTTCCCATTTCACAAGAGTGAGTGAGTGAGTGAGTGTGTGTGTGAGTGAGTGACAAGCAACTTCTACTCAGATGCTAGTGTTTTAATAACGTCCACTAAATCACTCAACGCATTCTTTCTTTTTCTTTTTTTCTTTTTTTCTTTTTCTTTTTTTTAAATATAAAAGGAACTGCCTCGTTTATTGATACTGCGTTCAGATTTTTGTTTCTCCTAATTACTAGTATAATATAATGTGTCAGTTCAATATCCGCTCCATTGTGTCACATTCCAAAACAAATATTTTGGGCCGCATACGCATTATTTTTAAATAATAAAAAATAAGGATCCGTAGTTTGTCACTTTGCCTACTTTCATTCATGTTGTTCCCAAAATAGTAGAGTCTTTTTCTTTTAAGAAATAAAATTATTTAAATAACTAATTCACATTTCATTAAAAATACTGAAAACTGATATCGCCGATGAATATGTAAAATATGCACATTTGCATGATCAAAAATATGCACTATATTATAGTGCAAAACCAAACAAAACAACATGGATTGGGTCACTGGAGTAGCATTGTGTGCAGAGGATAATATTCACAGCAGTGTAATTTGGATGAAAAAGCAAAATGTACCGTTCTGTTTCCATTTTTGGTTTTTCAATGCTGGCAAGAAAACGACGTCGGATTAATATTAGCGTAGATTGGGATGGGATAAATAGATTCCTAATCCTATGTAAAATAAAAGCAAGAATATATATAATCTGGAGATTAAAGTTATCCTTTGCTTTCGACTAACAGAATGCATCTTAAATTAATTTTGTTTGTTTAGTTGGCTTTTGATATTTAGACTCAAGTTAAACTAATATTTTTTATAAATATTTATTTTAATAATGTTATATTTTATATTTCTAAAAAATAAATTAAATTGTGATATAATTTTTTAATTAAAATAAAAAAGTAATTAAGAAGATAATGATAGTAATCTATCACCTAATATATATATTCTTTTAATTATTATTTATTAATAGTAAAAAAAATATATTAAAACTGTAGATCATAAGAGATTCGTTAAATCATCAAGTGCTTAAATAATAATAGCACTCAGGATTATCGTAACTTAATGAATAATATTAAGTTAGAGGTGATAACAGATACGTTATTAGCATTAGATTGATTAGTCGTGAAAACAGTGTACCAAAAAAAAAAATTTATATATATATATAGGAGAAATGAGATATATGATATTAAGAAAGAATGTTCAATCCAAAAAAAAAGTAAATCAAACTAGTATAGGTATATTATTATATATAATTAAAATTTTATAATAAATATTATATTTAAATATATA